TTGGTTTCTCCGCAGGTGGGGGTTCCGGCTTGACTTTGGGCGGGGTTCCTGGCTTGGGGCCCGGGCCAAGGAGCGGGGGACCTGGCCGGGCATCCTCTCCCGGGCTCTGAGCTGGCCCTTCTTTGGCGGCACCCCGCGGCAAGGTCCTGTAGGAGGCTGAGAATCCATCGGCAGTGACGCTAAGGTCCGAGACGAACTGGACGAGGAGCTCATTTCCTTCGGAGGAGATAGGACTGCAGGCGGCAGCAGGGCATTGTGGGAGATGTCAAGAGGGCCTGCACCCCGCCTTTACCCAGGCGCCCACCCCCAAGTTGGCTACATTAGCTTCTCGACTTCTTAGGCCCCAATCGCCTCTGTATCCAAAGTCCACAGGACTGATGCAGGGACTAGTACCCTACTTGCTCCACCCACCGGTTTGGAGCTCATGGTTTCAGATCCCGCCTCTTCAGCTAAGCCCCTCCCATCTCAACAGCAGCCAGCGGTCAGACTCCTGGGGAGGCGGAGAAACCCTGACCTGCACCCACCCAGGTCCTGTCCTCTCACCCCGGGGCGGTGTCTCCGCAGAACTTCCCCAGCCTCTTGGCGTCGTCACTCACGGCTCCATTGAACACACTGACCGAGTCATAGCGGCAGTAGGTGTCCGGCTCCACGTCAAACTTCCCGAAGGTCAGCGAGATCACCTGATGGCAGGGCACAGGGCAGAGGCTGCTTGGCACCTCTCACTTCCTTTGGGGATGTTTACAGCAGCCTCCTCTCACCTCCCGTGTCCCCTTGCACCCTCCTCTTAATGTATTCATACCACAGCCCAGAGGATTACATACACAGGAATCCTGAAGTGGTGTCCTCCGCCATGGTGGGCAAGGTCAAGTCCAGGCTCATTCTCAAGGAATAGACCCCAAACCCACCTCCTCCACCTCCCCCACCAGCTCCCCCATCTCCACCACCTCACCATCACCACACACACACACACACACACACACACACACACACCAAGTTTATCAGCATCAGATACCTCACTGATCACAGGTATAATTTTACATTTTTGTTTGCATGCAAGCAGGTTGGGTCTGTTTTGCTTCCCAGCAGCGCAAGCGCAGTGCTTAGGACATAGTAGATGTTCAGTAAGTCTTTGCTAGCTGCACGCTGGAGGACACTGCTCAGGTCCGGAGGGCAGCCCCCCGCTCCCTGGAAAGGGGGTCGGTACCTGGTTTGGGGGCGCGATGATGTGCCAGGAACAGCTGATACCCGGGGGGTAATCAGACTCGGGCCAGTTGGGCGTGGTCAGTGTTCCCTGGGCCTTTTCCAGTCGCCCCCCACAAAATTGGTGCTCTGGGGAGGGGAGAGAGGAGTGGGGTGGGAGTAGTGGAGACCCTCGGTCAGCTTGGGAAGAGCTCTAGGCTGGGGGCTCGTGCAGGAAGGTCGGATGTCGGGGCCTCAGGATGAGGGGCGAGAAGAGGGGAAGGAAACGGTGGGTAGGTTAGCAGAGGAAGAGCAAGGCGCAGGACCTCCGGGCACCCAGGCAGGTGGTGGAAGGGGGAGGAGGAATTGGTTGGACACGCCCCCTATTGCCCCTCCCCCTGACCCGCTGCCACACCGTTCCTCTTCCCCTGTTAGATCCCATCTCCTCTACCCGGCAGAGAAGTCCCCTTTGCAGACTCGAGAGTCCCCACGCTGTGAGGGTCCCTTCAAATTGGGGCATAAGCCCCTTTGGGAGGCCTTAAATATTTTAGGGGAGACTTCTGCCGCCAGGAGGAGGTGATGGGACCGCAATCGGGAGCCCCGGGCTGGGTGTAGGGGGCTCTGGGTCGGAGGAACCTGGTCCCCCTTCCCAGGGGGCCCCCTCACGCCCGTCAGAGGGAGCCCGATTGCGGACGGGGGCGGGCAGTTACTCACCGTCCCAGTAACCCCAGGCCGCCCATTCCACCCGCGGGTCCGTGACCCATTTCCGCCTCGCGCCTGGGGTGGGGCCTGGAAGAGGGGGGTGGCGGGAGCGGGAGAGGGGAGAGAAGATGGGGAGGAGGGACTGGAGGGGCAGTTAGTGAGGAAAAAGGGAAAGGGAGGCAATGGGGACCTAGGATCTTGGGGTGAAGGTTAAGGCTGAGGGCAGGGCCTTGCCAGGGTGGGACCAGGAGAAGGGGAAGGAGAAGGTGAGGGACGTCTCACCAGTGCTCGAGGTGGCCCGCCCGCTGTACCAGAGCAGGAAGCCTCGTCCTCCTGTACCCTCATCCGCTGTCATCTTCAGGGTCACCTGGTTGCCCGGGGCCACTATGGGTGCTGGCCGGAAGGTCCCACAGAAGCGTCCGAGCCGCTGGCCCGAGGTTCCAGACCCAGCAAAGACCTCCAGAGCATCATAACGGCAGGCAGGGTGTAGCTCCAGGTCAAAAACTCGGAAGGAGAGGGACACAGTCTGGCCTTCAGGGACCTGATTGCAGAGACAGGGGCGGGGACCTACAAAGTCAGGTCATACACAACCCAGGCAGAGGGTACTTTCCTTTCCCCAAGCATTTCCTAGAGAAACTTGGGCCTGAACATGAAGGAACCCCAACAGGGTGCAGAGCAGAGGGCCTGGGCTCTGCATCAGGCTTGTGGCTTATACAGGGGACCAGACTTGAGGTCTATGGAGAGATTTACAGGGGCAGGAATGGAGTTAGGAACGGAACAGCAGGCTTTGAATTAAGGGCTGAGTGAGGACACTTGCCACGTATTATTGTGAACACTGATGGATCTGTGACCAGAGGGGGTGGGTCTTGGACTTCCCTAGGGAGTAATAGTGCTGGGGGAGGGCCTTTGACTGCCTGGACCTAAGCCTTGGAGACTTTGACAAGGGGCAGTGACCAGAGGGGCCTTCTCACCGTTATTGTCCAGATGCACTCCTTATTCGGCGGGTAGAGGTTGGGAAAACTCTCACTTGCCACGTAACCTGATTCCCCAGTCACATCCCCTCCACACAGGAACACAGGTCTGGAGGACAGAAGAGGGGTCAGCCATGGGTGGGGGAAGTAGTGGACAGACTGGGATGGGGTAATGAGGATAGGAAAGCCTGAGGATGAGGGAGAAAGGCCTAAGGGATCTGGGATGGCCTCAGCCAGCCAAGATGAAATTGAGGTGGGAAATACTATAGTAGAGGATCAGGAAAAAGTAGGGCCAGCAACTTAGCTATGCCTCCAACTCCCAGTCCCCACCCCCAACACAACAGGATTCCCGGGATCCTCCTCAGCCCCCCTTCTTACTCTCCCCCCTTTGCACTGCCAGGCAGTCCACAGCAGCTGCCTAACTACTCCAGATGTAGACACAGCCACGCCACGAGGCTGTGCGGGGGAGGGGGCGGGGAGTTGAGTGAGAAGCAGCAGCGATGGCCCTCAAATTGAACCTGGAGACCAGGCTCCCTGACTTCTCAACCTTTTCTTTGCTTCTGTTGCAGCTAAACTACTTGAGTATCTGACCTCAAGTCTCCCACTTGCTGCCCCGCTTTCCCCCATCATTTTTAATTGCCTTCCTGGGATCCAGATGTCCAGGTATCAAGCAAGTTCAAGGTCTTGGCTTTCTCAGGTCCCATGGAGTGAATGGGGAGACTCAGAAGGAAGAGGACAGAGGTTGAGGAAACGGGGAGCAGTGGTGACCTACAGGAGACAGTGGTCTTGTAGCAGGGAGGATAGACTTGGGGACCAGAGAAGAGTAGAAACTGGGAGCTCTTGGGGGTAATGTGTTAGAAAAAGAAACCACAAGATCCACAGGCATAATCCTTCAGGAATTGGCTTTTGAAGCCCACTTAAGCTAACTAGAAGGTGCCAAGAGACCTACCTGGTATAGTTGGGAGTCTGGCCCTGGGCAAAAGGCAGCAGGGTCCAGGCAGGGAGGAGGAGCCCCAAGAGGGAGGCTGTGGCAGCAGGCTGCATGGCTGAGGGGAGAGGCGCTGGGGTCCTCAAGACAGAGGCAGCAGCCGAGTTTAGCAGCAGAAGCAGCAGCAGCAGCGGCGGCGGCAGCGGCAGCAGGGATAATTGGTGCCAGATGAGGCAGCCTCGGATGTGTGGGCGTGGGGACTGGCCAGTGGGGAGGGCGGTGGGGAAGGCGGGACAGGGAGAGGGGAACCGGGACAGTGGTGAGTCCAGAGGCCTCTCGAGGTAGAGGACACATAAATATTGACCTAAGTAGTGGGAGGAGCAATGAAGGGCTGAGGGAGCATCAGGACCTCAGCCATAACCTAGGCATCAAGTAATGTCATCTGGAAGCCCGTTCTGTCCAGTGCCCAAGCATCTGGTCCTTCCCCAGGACTCTCCAGCCCACTCACGATCCTCTCCATTGCTGCTTCCTTAGCACCCAGAGAAAGTCCTTTCCTGGACTCCCAACCTTTAAGCATTCACCCCCTTCCTGACCACCACCTGCTCCAACTTACTTTCCGCTTCAAATTTCCACTATCTTCTATCCCCAGGCCAGACTAGGCCAAGAAGAAAAGAATTCTGCTCACCCATTTTCTCCCAAATTATCTGGAGGTACAGGAATGGGGCAGGGAGGCATGGCATGTGGATAAAGGGAGTGTCTCCCTTCTGCAGGAAGAGGAGGATAGAGTAAAAAGTAGGGGAAAAGGACATGTAAGATCAGATCTGGAGGTAAACAGAAAGCAGAGAGGAGGGAGATTGACTTCACAGGGATGAAGGAAAAGGGATAGAAAACTGTCACAAGTCAGAAATGACTTCTTCAGAATGGGAATAAGAGGATCCAGTGGGGGGCACCAAATAGCATATGACCACTGGTGGTCTGTGAGGTCCGAAAGGTTGGCGACCGCTGGCAAACGTTGTTCCAGAAGGCAGGGCTAGGATTTCCTGTCAAGAAGATTGGGTCAGGTCTTGGGCGTGGAAGGGCAAAGCAAGCTGAAGGTGCTTGAGCAGCTGCTGCTCTGCCTGCCCGTCTATGCTCCTGCCCTCCCTTACCCACTGAGCTAGGCATCGGGACCCCATTCCGTGCCCCATTGTCCTCCCAGGCTCCAGGGTCCCAAACTAGGCCTCACTTCAGCCTTTTATTCTATTTGTCCATCAAATCTTTTGTCCATGATAGTAAGATTGGAGGCCCCTCCTGGGCAGCCCCCGAACATTTTACAAAACAGTTCCCTCCCCACCCTGGCATGTCCAGCAGTCCCCACCCCACTGTGTCCCCCTTCCCATGGCACAGTGTTCATTGCTACCACTCCATCTCTCCTTAGCCTTTGGCCCAGAGCCAGACTCTCCCTCCAGGGGTAAGACTAGGAGAGGGGGGTCAGCTCTCAGGTGTTGGGGGGCCTTGTCCAACCCCTCCAGCAGCCTTCTGTAGCATGTCCAGAGCCTCCCAAAAGAAATCCTTCTGTGCAGCCAGCAAGGGCATCCAGCCCACGATCTCCTTCATCTTTTCCATGCGGTCCTGCAACGTGGAGCAACTGTAGATCTGGCTGAGGTACTCCTTACAGGCCCAAGCTGTCCCCCCAGGGTCCTGGAGTACTCCGGACCCTGGATTGGGTTCAGGGGTCCCCACCACCTTGCTGGCTGGTAGATCTCGGTAGGCGGGATGCTGCTCAATGTCGTGGCTGGACAGCATGTAGAGACACTCTCTGGTAGAGCAGAGGGAGCAGGCACACAAAGGGACCTTGGCAGAGAGAAGGGGCATGGCTGAGTGGGGCCTTTACTGAGGGGTTCCCACGAAGCCCCGGCTGTTGTGTCCCTCCCCCTCAGACCAGCCCTGAGCCAGCAAATGAGCTGGCTGGCTGAACCCCAAGGTTGTGTGAGGTCAGAGAGCACCACCAGGATCTGCTAAGGAAGAGAGCCAGGAGCCATGGTGCCAGGCAGAAAAGGGAGGTGGGTGGTATTGGGGAAACGGGGCCCTTGGGGCCCCACAGTAGCCACAGCCAGAATCCTGTGGGCTACCTGCCCTCCCTGGTTGCCCATTCGCCTGACCCTGCTCTGACCTTGACATGGAGTTTGACGAAGGAGGCGCTCCCCTTAGGCCAGCCAGGGAGGCGGCCTCCAGCCCCACAGCCACAGCCCAGCAGCTCCTTGCTGAAGTCCAAGCTCTGGCTCAGCACCAGGGAGTGGTTGAGGCCACACCACAGGGCAATGGGGTGTTGCAGATAATACACCTGAGGATACAGGGCCAGGATCCCTAAGGGGGATACACCAAGGGACTGGGGGCCCAGGTCAGAGAAGGCTCAGGGCAGAATCTAGGGACACTAGGAGAGGGAAGAAATGGGACCCAGCACACCTTCCCCAGGAGGTCTTCCTGCTGGATGAAGACCAGCAGCCATCTCTCCCTCCTTGGTTCTCTTGAAGCCCCTAGTCTGACCAATGGGCACTAGCACTGCTATTGGTTCCTCATCTTTGCTTCTCAGAAAACAGGTTATTTGCCTGAGGCCAGGGCCTGCTGTCTGTTCTCTCATTCTGACATCATATACCTCAGCCAGTCCAACCTCTCATCCAGCTTTCCAGCCTCAGGGTGAGGAATATCTTCCCAAGGCTTAAAGACCCAACCTCTCCTTTGCAATTCTAGGTTAGCCCTCAGAAAGGAATTTCCTTCCTTGTAGTCCTACCTTCTCTCTCTAATATTTTCAGTTTGTCATATTATCTTTTCAAATGGCTATTTTAAAATATTTCCTCCTGATTTCTGCTGCTTCCTA